AAAAGAATAGACAAAGGCTACAATAAAATATGTCTATACAAGTCATCTTCAGGGTTGACAGGATGCTCTATATGACTCACCTTTAGCAAGTCCCTAAGCAGTTTATTTCCCTGTTTCCTTACCCACCCTGGACTGATAAAGATGGGGGGGGGGACTATATTCATCAACATAGGCCAAACTAGAAAATAGGATATAATAGGATATACCAATCAGCTAGTATACCAACAAAGAAAGAAGAGAGTAGAGGGACTAAGTTCATCAATATAGACAAGACTGGAAAATATATGCTTTAATAGGATATCCCAGGGGTAGGGAAACTTGGCTCTTTTATCACTTATGGACTTCAACTCCCAGAATTCCTGAGTGAGCCATAAAAGGTTCCCCATCCCTGGCCTACTGGTCTTTCAGTTGTGGGGGAAATCAATTTTGATTTGAATGGGACTGTTTATATACAAATGTAGGACATATTCTTTATATGTCCTATTCTTCATATTCTTTATATGTCCTATTCTTTGTATGTCCTATATTTGTATGTTAAACAGTCCCATTCAAGTCAAAAATTGATTTCCCCCACAACTGAAAAACCAGTAGGCCAGGGATGGGGAACCTTTTATGGCTCACTCAGGAATTCTGAGAGTTGAAGTCCATAAGTGATAAAAGAGCCAAGTTTCCCTACCCCTGGGATATACCATACCAATCAGTTAGTATACCAACTACTTTCTTGCCCACATGCACCAACACTCATAGACAACAAACTTTCTAAGAGTACTAAGAGTACTGGTACTCAGTGTCAGGGAAGAAGAGGAGGAAGAGGATGATGACAAAACAATAAGAATAGGTGATTGTTACCACTAACTAAAATTCCATGAGAATGGGCCCCTTTTTGCTCTCTCTGATGAAGATCAACATTTATCATTACAAAATCAGAATTTTGATTAAGCTATGCAGTTGTTGAGCAAATCATCATGTGACCTGATTTGTTTTTATGACTAGTTTTGCTGGAGTTGAGCAATCACTTAAGCAATCACATGGTTAAGTGAATTGATTAATTGATTTTGATTATTAGAAGCTGACTGGTCATAAGTTCAAACCGTCATTAAACAAATGATTATAAGTTAAGAACTATATGTGCCTGAAATAAATAAATAAATAAATAATTTGGGACTTCAGGGAGAAGGGTGAACTGAAAACAGCTGACAACTGAAGACTGGGGCAAAGATTAAGGAACCAAGGAGTAGACTGGCCCTTTGGAAACTTTCCAGAAAAGGAGAGGACAGGAGATAGCCCACATATGCTCCAGACAGCTGTTTCTTGCAAATAGATTGCAGTGCATTGGTTTTCGGTGAAATTGAGCACCAGGAGACAAAAATATTAGCTATTTTGCCCAGGATGATGGTGGAGTTTTTTAAAGGACAAACTTCACTTTATAATCATTTGCTCATTAAGTACTTCTAAGTTATTATTATAGACAAGTTTGAAAATACTGGGTGACTCTGCCTTCAATTCTAAACAAAACAAAATTTTAATCATAAGCTTAAGAATTTAAAGAATTTGAATTTAAAGAATCTGAAATAAATAGCAAAAAAGCAAAAGGAACAAAAGCAAAAAAACAACTGATACAAAAAACTATTTATGAAAAGTAGTCAATAGTTCTAGCAATTTTAAGAGTTGTGATGCTATCAGAAGGCAAGATTTTGCATATTGCTTCCCATTGGTTGAGTTGGTTGGTTGAGTACACACAATACAATTCCAGGGTTCGAATAAGTGTGTGACGTGGAAACAAGATTGCTTCATTCACACAGAATGTTAAAATAATGAGTGATTTCTCAAAGACTCTGAAAATACAAAATACCCAAGTTCATTTTAGCCAACATGTCTGCCCAACTATAAAATATCAAGATACAAAGGATAAGAATTAGCACTATTATTTTCTTGGATAAAGAAATTGGCAAGTTAAACATGAAGCTGATTCGATGATGCAAAACTTTAGTGCTAGAAAGCTAATGCAAACATTATCAATCTAAATTTGATATGTCATTTAAAATAAAGGAAAATGTGGACTGAAATGCACAATTAGCAATAGCAACTATGAGGAAATGGTAATTTCTTTTAAGATACTGATCAGTCATTATTCTATGACAGAAACTTGACCTAGACATTTTTGGCACTCTAGCCACATTTCCTGGGAAGTTCTGCTCCCTAATATAGAAGTTTACACTCATTTTAAAAAAAGAACATGCAGGACAGACTCTGGAACACCAAAACATCATTGGCAGAGACACTTTTGAAGAGTAGATTAATAAGATACCACAGAGCCACAAGCTTTATCTGCAATAAATAGCAGGTAACTTTTTGGTTCAAGCAAAGAAAAGCACACCATTAGTCTTAGATATTAAATCTTGTAACAAACTGAAATTACCTTCAAGAAGTTTATGAAATTTGTCTTATAACTAAAATTTATTTAATCTCAAGGTAAGCAGAAGAACATCTATTTGACCAAGGTTTCATCTATCTGCTCTCATAATATTTGTGGATCTGCAAACATTCATTAATTTTTCTTTCACTTTTACTAGTTCATTTACATTTCATTGGATTTAATTGTACTTCCCAATTGACTCTTCACTAGAATGTGAAAAGCATTCCTTCATTGTTGAAGAGCAGGAACATACATCATCACTCTGCATCAAATATGACCTCCAGACATATTTTTGGCTGCGGTTTTTCTTTTTCCCTTCTGTTGCTTGAGCTCTCCTGTCCATTTTGGCTACTGTATTTTACTTTGCTACAAGCTAACTCCAACAGTTCTTTGGCTACCTCACAGAGGCAGGAATTCCTCTGCAACCGAGTCAACTGTTACCATGGTTTCTAATGACTTCTACAGCTAACTTGGCTTGTAGATAAAAAGATTGCTGCTTAAACGGTTTTTTTAATGTCATTTTTCTTTCTCTGAACTAGATATTTTTCCCTCAGATTTTTAAAAATAAGTCCAGCAGTGTGCCATTTCTTCATTGTTCTAGTCACTCAACTCAATGCCAAGAGCCTTCTAATTGTCAAGACAGATGTTAAAGTCACTGTGCTATCATAGCATTTCTGATAAAGACAGTTCTAGAAGACACCAGAGACCAACAGGGCAGCATGAAATACATTTTTATTTTAAAGGTGTGTGCTACCTGCTTTGACACACACACACACACAGATATAAAAAGAGAGAGATGAGAGAGAACGACTTTTAAGTGTGTATCTGTGTGTTCAGTAAAATCCACCACATAATAAAAGCAATTTTCAATTTCTGTCCTGCTGTCCAAGAGAAGAAAGATGGGAAGCTCCAAAGAGAATATGTGATTACCCTACTCTATTGATTGACTACCTTGTGAGCTGTTGATAGGTGTCTTGATCCAGGCATGAGTTTCTTAGATGAGTCTACTATCATGCCCACATGAGTATAAGACAGAAGCAGTTTAAAGGGATAGTGCTCATTGACTCAGTATTAATATCTGCACATAGGTTAGTCCAGTTTTCCACCTCATGAAGCTCTCCAGAAAGGCTGACATTACAGTTTGAAGAATAAAAATAATTCGGATAATTCATGAGTTGAATAAAATCTTATGTGTGTAATTATCAGTTATTATCAGTTTGATTCTTTCCTTTCCACCTCAGAAACCAAAAACACCTCTCCCCAAGGGATAGAAGTCAACATCTCAAAGTCTTTAGCATAGGTAATAGTCAGAATTGATGAAATATAGTCCAAAATATCTGGAAGGCACTTGGTTATCTATTCTTGGTCCAATGATAATTATATGCATTTTTGTTTCCTATTAAATAATTGCTTCCATCTATAAAAATTGCCTTGATCATCTCACCTTTGATATACCCAATGGCATGTGATATTACCTGTATTGGATTATGATGCTAATAATAATTTCAAGATACCTGCATTGCCCAGATGCTATAGTATTGCTACACAAATTATTTCATAATTACAAAGGCTGAAACATATTTTTGGCAGACAATGAATGATTACTTGTTCCTATCCAACTTCAGCTTCTTTCTTCATTTACATTGTTGATTTTACCTAACATAAAATTTGGATCAAGATGTAATTAGTGCTACAAGAAGTTGACTTTGCATTCTTTTGGAAAATGAAGCCTTACGTATGGCTTATATTTTGCTTCCAGTAAAAAAATATAATCAATATTTCCATTTAAAAAACAACAACAGCAACATGTTGAGGAAATTGATTCATTGTTTTCCTTTTAATTCGTCTGGAATATGATGTGGAGCTCATTGACATATAGTAGGGGCCTCTGTCTGACAGTTTGTCACAAACTGCCTCAATTACAGGCACTTTGGAGCAGGGGTCTCCAATCTTGGCAACTTTAAGACTTGTGGATTTCAACTCCCAGCTGGCTGGAGAATTCTGGGAGTTGAAGTCCACAAGTCTTAAAGTTGCCAAGTTTGGGGAGCCCTGATTTAGGAAGTATAAGCATCCATTTTTCCCAAGGTACGCTGTCTGAGGAAACGGACTCATTCTGCCTAATGGCGGACCTCAGTTTCAATCATATTTGGAAACAGCATGTCTTAAGGTAGAATTTCAAAGGTGGTAGCCCAAATTGCACAATACAAGCCTTTCCCTAAATGAAACTGCTCACCAAACATTATTTAAAAAGTTTGGAGAGCATATTTCTTATAGTAGCATTTATCCTGCTTTAAGTATGGCCATCATTAAGCATGAGTGGATGTCTTCCAAATGCCTTTTAAAATACATTTTCAACATTATCAGAGTGACCTCTTCTAGAGGGAGATCCGTTCCTTTAAGCAACCTTTCCTGACCTCTGCAGCTAAAGAACAAAATAACTGGAGTAACAAAAACACCAACGCCTGCCAAAGCAGAAGGAGTTCCTGTGAACGGGCTGAAACAATAAATCTCCTCCATGCTGAATTCCCGGAGGGAGGCTGTCGTGTTTCCTCCTGTTCTTTATCAAGGTCCCCCAAATAAGCAGGATGGGCAGTGGCTCTCCACAGATGGCCTTACTCCCTCTTTCTCTCTACTACAAACCTTTCCTGCTGGCTAATTAGAACCAGGTTGAGGGAGAGTGTTTTAGTCCTCCTGCTGCCTTTGGAAGGAGACATCTGGAGCATCCTGAATGATGGCTGGGAAGCTGTGGAGCACTGTCCTCCTTTCACTGGCTTTTTCTGGCTTCTTCTGTGAGGAAGGTAAGGCCTCAGATTTCTTTGCCACCCTTTCAGCTTTCCCAGAGCAGTGGAGCTAGTGAAGGGGCAGCCTCTTATGTTGCCATTTTGTCAACTGATTGCAGTCATGTTTGTTTGGGTCTCAGAAACTGTTCACCTACTGTGAAAGAGAACACACGATTCTTTCTAAATCTTAAAAAGTAAAAAGATCTGTCTCTCGTATCTTATCAGTACACTTTTCTAGAGCACTAGCTCCTTGTAAACTAGCAGTTGAGGATAACAAATTATTATCATTTTTATTTAGTGTATGGCATCTACAGCGGTCTTGCAATCACTGATACACAAATTTAGTTTAAATAAATGTTTTAATTTGATATTTAAGGATGCTAACAATCTAACTGCTTCTGGTGTGCCTGTGGTAACCTCATCCCAGGTGGCTTGAAATGATAATAATATTTGTATTGTCCTATAGGCATCCAAAATGATTTTTAGAAGAATTTCCCACCTGTGATAAAACATCAACAAACTCCTTTTAAACTCCCTTTTAAAACCTTGTAATCCCTTAATTCAGAGTAGAGTGGGGTGACTGGATGGCCTGAGCAATAAAACACACAATCCTGCTAAAAATTAACTACTTACCTTCAAAATACTGCATTTAAAGAAGTAGGTTGTTTTTCAAGCCCAATTATGGGAAAGAAACTCCTTTAACCATAAGAATTTACTTTGCAGCAAACTAGCATAGGATTGAATTAGAGTGCTCCTTTGGGGCAAGTTCCATTGTATTTAACGAACTCAGTGCCAGAAAAACATGCTATTATTGTGTGGTCATTTCCTATTTGTATTTCTAATTTTATGCTAATAAGAAGAATAAGGTGTGGAATAAAGCAATGTTCTGGCAAAAATAGAATACTCTGATCTGTGCAGAGTCCTCACTGAAAAATTCTTTTGCAGCTTAAAATTCCCTTGTATTTGTGAGTGCTGAGATCTAAAAAACCTTAATATATCTCTGTCATGTGCATGAACACACTTAACATGGAGAAGCATTACTATTGATAAATATTGCATAACCAATGTGCTTTTAAATAGCAAAATAAAAAGGGTTTAAACAAGGGGCGATAAAAAAAATGTACTCCCATGGAGTACAAATGTGTGGGTGCATGTACATATTGCTCAGGACGAACTGAGTAGATGAATAAATACCATTTTATTCAAGATAACAAACCATTTTTTTCTGAACTCTGGATTCCTATCCATATTCCTTTTATTGGTTATTAAGCAAAGTTTGTAGCATGGCAGAATACAGGATATGGAATCAAGGCTTTAAGTTAGAGGAAGACAGATTCCTGTTGAGTGTTGTGAACTGGAAGGCAATTCAGCAGTACATAATGAGAAAATAAAAACTCCTTCACTAGATATGCTAATGGATGGATAATCATGCTTTAATTTGAATTCCTACCTGGAGCAATGGGTTGGTTTTAATGGCCTAAGTGACAATACATGCTCTAAAAAAGGTGGGGGATGCCATTGACATAGGATGAATTGAAACTGGGGATTGAGTTGGATTTTCTGTCTCCTGTTCTGTCTCAAAAGTCTCACAGACATCTAGTATGTGAGTATATAGTAAGGCACAGGGCAGCTACAGAAGGAAAGATAGAAGTGCTTTGAAAGTCAACTCTTTCAAAGCCCTTAGGACCAGAACCGTAGTTACTTACAAGTAACTCTCCACACCAGATGTAGTGATGAAGGTTATTGTCAATGGTGGCTACGGTCAGCAACAAGTTTGAAACGGGGCAACAATGAAACAATGCCCTCACAAAAACAGCCTTACAGAGTAACAATTCCTCTCCCCTTTATACACACCCACGTTATTGTTACCTCATTAACCCCATCTCCTCCCACCACCCTTCTTCTGAACACTCCCTGTAATTACCTAAGGAGGTTGCTGATGCAATCTTGGCTAGCATTACTTCAACTCCACTCAGACTTTTGCTAGTACTGAGCTTCATTATCTCAGCTGCCCCTCCCTCTCCTATGATGAGCCCTGGGCAATTAACAGCAATTACAGCCCTAGAGACAATCATCCTGTTCGCCCCCCCCATCCTTAAAGTCCCAATAAGGCCATTAACAGCCGCCATTGTAGCATCCATCTGGGGCGTCGCAATGCATCACGTCATCATCATCAGCCTCCAGAGTCTTCTCCCACACAGCCAGCCCCTTGGGAACCATGATCAGCAGGACAGCGGCTGGCGCTAGATGAAAGTAGACATCCGGCGCTGTAAAACAACAGTGTTCCCAAGGGGTAGGGCTCGTCATTGACAATGTGCCATGTTTGCACCCATACGCTCTAAACCTTCATAGAAAGAAACTGAAAACAATGTGTAATCTGTTAGATAAGCACAATGTTATCATAGAATTGGGATTGCCAATGTTAGTCCATTAAACTGATTTTGTAAAAAATTAGCTGGTAGAGTTCCTTGCAAAACATCACTCCCTAGAGCAGGGCTGTCAAACTCCTGATACTTGGGCCGGATGTGTCACGTGCTGGCCACACCCACACCTAGTTTAGTGAAGGGGGAAAAAAATCCCAATATGTCATGTGACGCCACTGTGATGATGTGAGTTTAGCACCCCTGCCCTACAGAGACAGTAGCTTAAAGAATGAAACAGCCATTGAAAGCTATGAAGAATACAGCGTCCTAGGTTTTTGCATTTGGTAAAGGGTGTGTGTACATATATAAATAGACATAACCCATGACATAATTTACAGCCATTATTTTTGCCAGTGTATTTAGTCATATACATATATAGCTACCATCAAATTTGCAAATCAATATCCATATACAAAATGTCATAGAGATATCACCTATATGTAGCCTATACTGTAGTCATTTAAGACTGCTATGCAACACTTTGGACTTAAGGTAAAAGGATGCTTTGGAGCATAAAAGAACACAAACATACAATCTTTTAGCAATTTATTAAGGGACAGCTTTTCAAGGGCCACAAGGATATCTTCCTCCTATCTTTTGAAGTCCTTTAAAAAAAAAACAATCATAAAACTGCCCAGAATTTCATCCCACCCAATGCAAGCATTTCTTGAGGGAGATTTGTGTCTGTGTTAGTTAAATGTATTAATGTGTCATTAGATTATAAATGGATACTATCTCACAAGACTCCCTTATTTTGTGGCTGCCAAAACATCTTAATACTACATTCCTGAAAACAGTTTCAGCAGTAAAAAAATTTAATGGTTAGTTTTGGAAAAGACATAAAATAAGTTTGAACATATTTGTTCTTCCTTTCAGGGGCATTCATGGGTTGAATGGAGGACATGTCTATGAGATATTTGTCTCACTCCCTTTTTACATGCATCAGTGGACATTAAAAAGGGGCAGGACTGTGATCATATGATCATAACTACCATATTTTAGCCCCTCCCCCAACATCTATCTCAAATTTCCCAGAATCTCAGGAGAAAAATCCTCTACCACAAAGAGCTTACTGTCTTTCCCTCAGAGATCTTTTCTTTCTTTCTTTCTTTCTTTCTTTCTTTCTTTCTTTCTTTCTTT